TGTGTCCTTTATGTTTCCAGGGAGCTGCAAACTGGATGGTCCCACTCTGACCTCTGGGCTTTCTGGCTCCTGGATCTCTAGGGAGGTGCTAATCTAGCCTTTGCCTGCGGCTATCCAGCAAAAGCCTCCCTGCAGGGCTTGGGCAGGGCAGGTTCCACAGGATCAACAGGGCGGGGCTAGCAGTTATGGCTGCTCTCAGTCTTGCCCTCAGAGGCTTTGCTTCTCAGTGTCCGGGTAATTGCTGCAAGCCCCTCGGAGAGAAAGCTGCCCTCGGGTTCTGACCGATGCCAGACAGTCCCGCTTCTCCTGTATGAGTCTGGGTCCCTAGAGACTCGCCCGGAACTGGAGCTCAGAGCCTGAGACTCCCTCCCGATTGAAAACGACAACCGCGCCCTCAGCCGCCAGCCTGCTCCACATGCACCTCCTCACCTCAGTATTTTACTTCTGCACTGCGCCTCCTCTGAGTCTCGATATGCTTTTCTCTTTCCTTCTAGTTGTAGAATTTCCACTCAGCCAGCCTTCCTGTGGTTCTGGATGATGTCCATTCCGTCTTTTAGTTGTATTTTTGAAGTGGTTGTTTGAGGCAGCGAACTCTGGTGTTTACCTATGCCGCCATCTTGGTTTCCTCCCTAACTTCTCCGCTTCCTTCTAACTGATCTCTTTGCTTTTACTCTTGCCCCTCTGCAATCTATTCTTTACCCAGCACCAGCATGATCGTTTGAAAACTAAATTAGAGCATCTCTCTCCTGGTCTAAAACCTTTCAATGACTTCCCATTGTCCTTGGAAATACAAGTCTATTCCCGCCACAGGGCCTTTGCACTTCCTCTGCTGGGAATACTCTTTTCCCTAGACCAGGAGTGGGAAACCTTTTTCTGCCAATGGCCATCTGAATATTTATAACATTGTTGGAGGGCCATACAAAATTATCAGCTTAAAAAATTAGCCTGCTATATTTGGTTAAACACTTAATTAACTCACCCCTGAGGCCTTAGCAGGGCCAGACCAAGGGATTTTGCAGGCCTTACATGGCTTGGATGTGCTCCATTTCTGCCCTAGATCTTTGCACAAAAGGCTGTTTTTCAAGCAGGTTGCAGTTTAAATATTTCTCCCTCAGGGAGGCCTTCCCTGACCTCTCCTCCTAAAATAGCCATGTCTTTTGCTTAATATCTGACACATTACATGGTTTTATTTATACAGCATATTCTACCTGAAATTACCCTGTGTATTGATTTTTGTAGTTGTTATTGTTGCCTTCTCATCTCAGCATAGCATATATGCTTTATGGGGATGGGGACTTTGTTGCTTTGTTCATTGCATATCCTTAACAGCTAAAGCAGAGTCTGGCATGTAGGTACTCAAGGAGTGTTTATAGAATAAATGAATGAATGAATGGATGCCACGGACAGAAAAACTATATGCTAGAGAGGTTGTGGTCACATAACTAATTAAAAGCAGGGCTTACACTTGAACGCAGGCCTCATTATGTTTCTTTCCTCCAGGTCATACCGCCACGCAACAAGCCTAATTAACTTAGAGATAATTCACCAAATATTTATGGAGCTCTTATTGTGTTTTAGACACTATTCCATATTAATGTTCTCAACCAAGAGTGATGTTGCTCCTGTGGGAACATATTTCAATGTCTAGTGATATTTGTGGTGGTTATAACTGGGGCGGGGGTGCTACTGGCATCTAGTGAGTAGAGGCCCGTAAACATTCCACCATATGCAGGACACCCACCCACCCATCCACCCAATCGAGAATTATTCAACCTAACCTGTCAGTAGTGCTGAGCTTGGGAAACCCTGTTCTAGGTGAACAGACAGATCCCTGTTCTCATGGAGTTTATAATCCAGGGTGGGGAGACAGATGACAAATGGTACAGACCAAACATAAATAAAGTGAAGACCATGTCAGAACAGTGGTGTGATGGGAAAGAAAGAAAAGTCAGAACACAGGAGGGTGCCGGTGGGCACGATGGGTGATGGGGGTAGGAAGGGCTATCATCTTAGCTTTCTTGGGAGGTGAACCAGGAAAAGAAAATGTGCTTCTAGAGGTTCAGCTCCATGACCTGGACTGACCAGTCCTTTGGGTCCAGCCCAGAGCTGCCGGGCATTAGCCCATGCAACTTCAGATCATCCTCACACTGAAGAAACAGAAAACCTTCCTGAACCAAGGGGCACGTTAACCTCCAAATAAAAATAGAGCAACTGGCATGGGCTAGAAATATTATTTTCTGCCCCTTTCAGGAGTGTTGAAATTCTCCTCTTTCTCAGCACCTTCAGCACCCTGTCATCACTAATGCAGGACGGTGTTAATTTGATGCAAGTTTTATTGCTCATTGTCAGCTTCTCACTTTTTTCTCAAAGCAAAAATAGTGTGATTTCAGCTTCTCTCAAGAGCATTGTGAGTTTTTGGTTGTACAGAGGTTTCTGTCTGTCTAGGTTAATTTCCTCAACTCAACAGAACCAATTGTAGATTTTAATATCTTGGGATAGCTGTAGTAGTTGGTGCTGATATACTGCAGGTCAATGAAATGGTTCTTACTATATATATTTAAATATATATATGTGTACATACACTTAAGTTATCACTAAAAACATACTAAAATTGTGGTTTTGGTAATTTGGTTGGCATGTACTGGCTTTATTGGTCTCTCTCTTGTTTCTTTACCAATCATTGGCATCCCGAAGGTACTCAACAAATGTTTGTTGAATTAATAAACAAACTGCAAACATCAGTTTGGGATCATTAGATTCTATATTATGTTTTCACATATGCATGAACTTATTAGTATCACTAAAACACAACCTAGTAAACATAATAGCATATTCTTACAACATTATCATGATAACATATTCATTTATTTTGTAATCTGTTTTGTTTTTTTTTACTTTTAAAATTATTACATGGGATCTGTATGACTCACAGGGTTTCTGAATCTAGCAAGCATAAGACTTCTAGTGGTTGATACCTTTTCTGTATACCTCTAACCTAGGAAGGGATTATTAAACAAGAAAGTAGATTTCAATAAATATTTTTGATTGTAAATTGACATGGTTGAAGAAATTACGCACAGTGCACCATTTTATTCTAAGGAAGAACTTGTTGACCAGTTTACTGGATGTGTGTTGATTTTTTTTTTTTTTTTTTTTTTTTTTTTTTGCTATTTCTTTACAATTGAGTTTGGCCTTTGCAAGCAAGAAGGGCAACTGCGGGCATATGGAGCAGGACTGCTTTCTTCCATTGGAGAATTAAAGGTATGAAGCTGTGAACGAAAGTATCCTTCCCAAGCAAACTGGTTCAAGGTCATGGAAAATATTGATTTGTTTGTCTGTGCATTTCTACTTGCAGATACTCCATAAATATTTAACACAGAGGAGTTGGCACCTCAACGTGGGTGCTAACCTAACTTTTTGCACTTCTGAAAATGGGTCATGCCTTTCTGGGTTTGTGGCGTGACTCAAATGGATGAGCAGCTATGTGCACAATCAACAGGAATGACAAATGTATGCTAAAACGTTGGCTAACAAATGACTGCCCTAAATTTAGTGCTGCAAAGTGGGCAATGAGCTAGCAGTGCTTCCACTGACGGAAATTTGCTTGTAAGGGTGCCTTGGCTGCTCTCACTCTGTCACCCCCATGGCTCCACCGGACTCCTTGGCATTTATTCCCAAAGGGGAATTTGACATTATTTTAACTTCTTCAAAATTGATGTGTATTAAAACATATGTGGAACATATATAATTTAGAAAAAGACTAAATAAACATATGGTTATTTTACTGAGTGGTATCTAAAATGTGTAATGCTGCCTAAGGAATGCTAATTTTTTTGGCCTTAAAATACAGTAAATTATCATTTATTCAGAAATGTTGGGGCCTGGGGCATCTGATAATTTAAATATTCTGGTTCCTTCAGTATTACTATCTATACCATTGGGGTGGAGTAAGTTTTGATGAATTTAGAATGAAATGTGAAATATAATCTAGAAATGGTACTGAAAATAATTTAATCTTTCTTTGATTATTCAGACTAAAATCAGGATTATGGACTATCTTAGGGTTTTTATTTTGAGTATTGATTATCCTTATATAATTAGGAAATATCTGATAATTGGAAGTGTTTGGTTGTTTCTGTTCTTGAAAGATGCAATTTAACTATAATTTTATCAAGTCCTCTCAATTTATGACCCCATTCCTTCATCCTTCAAACATTTGGTTGAGCACCTACTATGTACCCTGTATGGTGCCAGTCACTGGAAGATACAAATACAAATAATGAGGAAGAATAAGAATAAGAAGAAAATAACAATTACCTCAACGGACACTTAAATAGACCTTAGTGTTTTAGATACTTTAGCCATTCAAACCCATTTAATTCTCATAACAACATAATGAGGTAAGCATTACAGATGAGAAAACTGAGGTATAAAGACATTAAGGAACTTGCCCAAGGTCACTCAGCTAATACGTGTCGGAGCTGGACGCAACCACGTCCAGGCAGTCTGGGCTCCAGACTCTGAACCCTTAACCACGAGGCTACACTGCCTGGGATCCCTGTTATTAAGGAGTTTACATTCTAGTGCAGGAGATACCCAATCAGATAATACAGACAGTGTGGCAAATGGGCCTGCACAGAGTGGGCCATGCCTGGGAAGGCTTCCTGAGAAGGGCCCAGCCGCCCAAGCTGATTCCTGAGGAACAGAAAGGGTGAATACGAGGAGGATGAGATAACACAGATCAGCCATCGGACACCAGTGTGTGTGCTCTCGTCAAGACTGCCCCATTTAGGGGGCTGCCTGAGGCTTGGCATGGCTGGGATTGAGGATAATATTTAGCATAACAACAGCCTGATGTAATGTGGTGAAATTTTTTTACTAAATTCTCAACAAAAATAGTCCATTTGGGGTTAATCTCAGCGCAGTGGCCAGAGCCCACAGCAATAGTGTGATGTCATATACCTGAAAGACTTAGGCCTGCTATAGAGTGCTTTTTGATTTCCCCGAAAAAAGATGAGCCAGAAAACCACGTAGCTCTTGAGCTACATCTATTTACATTCTCCTCAGAGGGTTTATAAATCACGCCAGAAACAAAAGAAACAAATCTCTCTTATTGCCTCAACTTTCGACAGGGTCCTCTGATCTGGTTAATGAGGCATGTGTAGGCAGCATTGGAGTGAATCTGTTGTTTTTGTTTCTATTGGTGTGGATGGAACCGTCTGGAAATGGAAATCAGCCAGAAACATGTACACCGACGAAGGGCATTGTCAGCCATGAATCTTCCTGTTCTGGTCCATCACCTCTGGTCATTAGCATTCTTCCATTCTCAAATTTCAGCACTCCAACATCCCTATGATTGCTACTTTGGACCATTTTTACAATTCAGGCATTCTTTCTACAAGAAAAATCTTCTGATAGTGCACAGAGAATACATAACGTGATGCAGATGCTCTCGTAGCAGCCCTCCCTCACCCCATCCCTGCCCAGTCTGCACCGTGCAGAGCCCTCTCACACACTTCTCAACACTTCAGTCTAACTTTGACTTAGATGATCAATCCTAGACCTTGATCTAAGTAGGGATAACTTTATTAATAGCATTATAATAACTCCAATGTAAACATGCTTACAGTTTTGGATCCAGTTACCTTATGTGGTAAAATAATTTTGTGATCCAACTGCAGCCCAAATGTAGGTCCTAAGTTGTTGGAGGTTTTGGTGTAGTCTTTATAACTTTTACACAAATATCTACAACTCACCTTCTCTGCTTGAATAGACACGTTTTAAACTTTGTGCTTTAAGAGGCTAGATTTTCCTGGGCATAGATGTTGCACTTCAGAATTGAGCAAGTATTTCCAAGTGGTATATCTATGGTTTGGAGGATAACTTTCATTATTCTGTCTTATTTTTTCGATAACAACATTGCCTTTTTTTTTTTTACAATTTTGATAATGCTTATTTTTATCTTTAAAGACAGAAACAAAAATATGAAAAAACTTGTAAAAGTTAACATTAATCTGATAGCCATAAAGGCTGTTTTTTTTTTTTAAATTTCAGCAATGGTTCATCTCTCTTTTGTTCTAGTTATCTGTTTTGTCATGAGCTTTCAGAAAGTCTAAAAGTTTGTTTATCAGAGAAAGATAAGTACCATATGACTTCACTCTCATGTGGAATTTAATGAACTACCAAGCAAAGTAGAAATAGACTCATAGACAGAGAGCAAGTGGGCAGCTCTGGTGGGGTGGGGTTATCGGGGTAGAGGGATTAAGCAAAAAAGTAAGAAAAAAGAGAGAGAACTTATGGACATGAACAACAGTGTGGTGATTGTGGGGGAGGGGGAGGAGATTGGAAGGAGGTGGAGGAGGCATAGAGGGGATAAAAGGTGGGCAGCTCTGGTGGGGTGGGGTGTTAGCGGGATAAAGGGATTGAGCAAAAAAGAAAAAAAAAAGAGAGAACTTATGCACATGGACAACAGTGTGGTGATTGTGGGGGAGGGCGAGGAGGTTGGAAGGAGGTGGAGGAGGCATAGAGGGGATAAAAGGTGATGCAAAAAAAAAAAGTGTGTTTAAGTAGGGCCCTTTCTTACTGTCATCACTTTGGAGAGCAGTTAATGTCAGCTAAGTCATCTGGAAAACTGACTTAAAAACAGGTTGAAAATAGGATAATTGACTGCCATTCAACCACAGTCTAGCTCTAGCATGTGTCTTTTCTTTCATGCCCCTTTCCCCCCTCTTTATCCCAGAGTATAAATACATCTGTTCTGATTTGCAGGTTTTGATAAAGCTGATGGTTTAAATTTTTTAATAATTATTATTTTGGCTTTGGTTTTAGGATATCATTGCACAGTAAATTTATTGTACTGCTTTTAAAAAATACATATTTTTTAATTGATTTCAGAGAGGAAGGGAGAGAGAGAGAGAGAGAGAGAGAGAGAGAGAGAGAGAGAAACATCATTGATGAGAATCATTTATCGATCAGCTGCCTCCTGCACACCCCACACTGGGGATCGAGCCTTGCAACCCTGTATATGCCCTTACCAGGAATTGAATGGTGACCTCCTGGTTCATAGGTTGATGCTCAACCACTGAGCCACGCCAGCTGAGCTGTACTGCTTTTTATAGCTGTTAATCAGCATTCACAGAACAGGTTCATATTTATTACAGTCATTTGTATTTACTGCCATGTACAGCGACTCTGTGAGGTGGTCAGGATTACTGCCAGGCTGTAGAGAAGAGGGTTCTCTGAGGTCATCTGGTATAATTGTGGGGAGAGATAGAGCTAGAGTTAGGACTCACTGCTTCTGAGCTCCCACACCTGTACCCTGCTCAGCTGGCTCACACCTCCAATCTTCTTCCTCCTTCCTTTCCCTTCCTGAAGCCAGCACTCTTAACAATAATGACAGAACAAATGCCAGAGCATTGGAAGCTGGAAACTGATCTTTGGCCTTAATGAGAGGATTGCTTGAAGAGAGAGTTGATTCCCTCACCCCTGCAGCTTATTCAAACTGAAGAAACTTTCAACATCACGGACACCAAAAAAAAAAAAGTGTGATGCCATCATCCCCAAATTTGGCAATAGGGGTGTCAGTGCCAAGTTGTGCTTGGTTAGCAGGAGGAGCATTAGAGGGAGGTTAAAAAATGTAGTATACCTACATATGTGCATATAAAAATGTATATATTTGTTATTCTGATGTAAGAAAAGATGATTGTAGTGTGAGTGTAAAGGCATTTACAAATTTATTTTATTCACAATCTAAGGCCAACGCCTACCTGTAATCCCGACTTCACACTGTGTTTTCCCCAGCTTTAACCAGTCCTAATAGAGAGGGTGAGGATCACAGGGTTTCCATCTAGAATAGTAGAGATAATAACTCTGTGTCATTACAAAGGCAGGTGGCTGGGAGGGAGGGAGATTTTACATTGAGGAACTCAGGGCAAGCACTGCTGCAGTGCGGGGCCTGGAAGCCGCATAGCTGGGGCCATGGGTCTTTACCTGTGGGTTCCAGAGCCCTGGGGGAGAGGGGCCGGTGGTGGCAGCCATGGCTGAATGCACACTCACACCAAACATCATCTCGAGACTAGCTGAGCGATGATAAACAAATATATCGAGCACATCCTCTGTGCCAGGTACTTTGCATGCATTGCCTTGTTCAATTCTTACCACAGCCCTGGGTTGCGGTTATTATTAGTACAGTATTCCCATTTCCAGATGCAGACTGAAATAGGCTTACACAGGTGGGATAAGTTGTCCAAAGTCATGTAGGAACTTTAGGTAACAATTGGATTCTAGGAAGTTTTTGATGTTGAAAAGAGATGTTTTCATTGAAAAGGCTGGAATGGCAAATAAGTCTTAATTTGTACACAAAAGCCAATTAAATAGTAATGGCCATCTCTGCTGGGAAAGGTGGGAAGGTCATGCCCAGGCTCAGGGGGAAAGGCTGCTATGGGCAGTTCATGCTGGCGGAGGTGGAGGGAGGGGTTGGTGGTATGAGTGCAGGCCCTGTTCAAACTGCATTGCGAGAAGAGCTTTAGAATTCATGGAGTTGCTCAAAGAGGAAACTGTGCCCCAACCTGGGGGTTTTTCACCCACGTGATACTGTGCTTCTGGGACAGTTCTGTTTAGAATCCAGGTCTCCTGGCTCCCAGTGCTATGTCCTAGTCTTTAGCATTATGGGTAAATCCAAAACAGTCCTTTTAGAAGAGGGGAGGTGATTATCAAGCTTTCCTGGGCTTTTAAAATGGCTTGAGAATAAAGGACTGTCAACCAGATCCTGTCAGCATTACCAGGCCCCTCTCTACAGGAAGCTGGATTAATTCTTGCAGACTTCAGCGCACCTGAGGAACACTTCAGGAAGGACTCACCACGGAGTTCCCTGGGGACATGGAGCAGTCTGGCTTGATGTTTACAGAGAACCCACTGGGCACCGAGGAGAGGGAGTGATAGCTGTTCTCCAAGGCCCAGCAGCTGAGAGAGGGATATGGATAGTGGCTGAGGAGCAAACTCAGTAGGACCTCACTGCAGTGGGCAGTGGGCTTTAGAATCAACGAGATATGGCTACTTGACACTCTCGTATTCAGAACAGGGGACCTTATGGGCTACATGGATATTCCTGGCAGTCATCACACAGGGAGCTCCCCGGCAGGTAAAGGAGACCACTTAAAGGTGTGTCACCTCTTCATTTGTCGTCCCCTCTCCCTGGCTGCTCCCCGAACTCTAGGCTCTTGTCATTCTCCAGGCTGGTCCTGGGTACCATTATCAGCCCCATGTTCCTAACAGCCCAGGAGCAGCACTGGTCCCCTTCCCCGTGGATAGACAGGTCCTCAGCAGGTAACCAGCACATTGGACACCACAGGCTCCTGAGGATGGGCTGCATTTTTGAGATCATAGACCAACCAGCTTCCAGTGTTTCCTTGAATATGACACAAGGCAATCATGATACGCATTGTCTAGTGGTCTTTCCTCAAATTATATGCTGTGAGTCCACTGACTTTTCTTGAATTCTGGGGCAGGGCACCCTGTGCCTCTGGAATTTTTCTTGGTGTCCTCTCACCCTCTTTACCAGTTAAAATGGCTAAACAAGCTCATCTGAGTGTCCAGCGAAGTTGTCCCATGATACATTTCTCTAAAACCACTCTGATTCCGGTCCCTGTTATCACCTGCACGCTTTTTGGAGGCATTCTCTACACGTAGTGACTGTATGGTTGTTAATTTCCTATGAAAGCATTACAGATCCTCATCCCATGATACATTTCTCTAAAACCACGCTGATTCCGGTCCCTGTTATCACCTACACGCTTTTTGGAGGCATTCTCCACACGTAGTGACTGTTATGGTTGTTAATTTCCTATGAAAGCATTACAGATCCTAGTAGATGAGTTTCACCCCCTTTGTGTGCTTATCTTAGACCCAATGAAACGTCCTTGGCTCAGCAGGGATATCCCAGGGGAGCTGTGGCTTAAATGTTCTTATAGGCTGCTCTGCCTTGATTCTGCCCGTGCTCCTGAATGTGGGGCTGAGAGAAAGACCAATGACACTGTGTCAGCTACATCCCTTCCTTTCGTATGTACTGATGGGTGGATGGGCTACGAGAGCAGCACACTGAATTAAAATGCTCCCAGATATGGCTGCAAAGAAAGCAACTTCTAATTCTGAAACCAGTGTCGACCCAACAGGAGGCCTGTTCTTTGCAGAGGAGCAACAGCTCTCATAACAGGACATTTTGTTTCCTGAAGCTGAGGTTGTTTTAAAAATGTGGACAGGATTATTAGTCACGGGGAACCCAAATCCCCTGATATTCGCTGCACTGCACTGAATCTGGCACACATGCATTTGCAGGTTTAGTGACCTTCTGCTTATGATGAAGCTGTTTGTGGGCCAAAAAAATGAGTTCGCTTCGAGATGCCCTCCACATACCCTGATTCACGTATGCACTGCTCAGGACAACAGAACTTGCCAGAAAGCAGATCACAGGGGAGGGCCATGTGCCCTTTCTCTCGCGTGTCAGTCCTCTGGTTCACAATTATATTTTCAAACTTAGGGAACCACAGCCTTCTTCAGGCTGCAAATCATTCCATGTGTTTTGAAATTGTTGGGGGAATGCACCAAGAATACTGAACAGAAAAGGTTTTTCAGCATTTCTCTCGGAAAACATAGCAGTTAGAGATGGAGAAGGTGGAAGAGTGCTTTGGGTGGAATCCAGAGGCTGGAAGAGAAATCACAGAGCCCAAGCCTCTCTTTACAGCTGAGGAAACTGAGGCCCAGGGAGGTGAAGAAATTTGCCAACGTTACCCGGTCAGACAGCAACACCTGGATTGGAGCCCCAGTTGCCCAACTCCCAGTTCAAGGCAGTTACTGCTTCCCCTTTTCTTTCTGACTGAGGCCCAGGGAGGTGAAGTAATTTGCCAACGTTACCCGGTCAGACAGCAGCACCACCTGGATTGGAGCCCCAGTTGCCCAACCCCCAGTTCAAGGCAGTTACTGCTTCCCCTTTTCTTTCTCTCCCAACCAATTTACCCTGGAAATTAAGAGACAGACTCTAGTGGAGTGTTTATCAAAATATACTTCGCAACCACTTATGTCTGAGTCACCTTGGATGCCTTTAAAATGCAGACTTCTGGGATTCATCCAGACCTACCAAATAAAATTGAGGCCTGGGTATCTGCATTTTCATGAGCTCCTTAGTGATTCTATGCCCACTCCGTGTGAGAATCATTGATGCAGGGTCTATAAATAGGCAGGTGGCCCGTGGCAGGAAATGACCATGAACTTTTAGCATCACTGAACTTATCTGCAGAATCCAGTCCTTCATTGTTCCCTGCTGTTCCTCGGCCAGCCGTGTAGTGAGCCGAATGGAGCTAATGAAGGCTCAGAGAGTAATTGCCCTGGCTCTCCTGTTTTCCTAATGCCTGCTCTGGGCATACCTATAAACTATTAATATTAGCTCTTTTGTTCCCACCCGGAAATATTTATCTGCTGTGTATTGCTCTGCTGTACTGGGTGGAAGGTAAATGAATGCTTTGTAAATTTTCTCAAATTGGCAGGCCCACTCTAGACTCTGTTGATACCTGGCCTCAAAGTGTCTCTCAATGAGTCCACAAATAGTTTATTCAGAGCCCCTGTTACCTCTCCACGCAGGTAATTATTACTTCTGCCATTTAAGTGAAATTCCAGTACATTGCTTAGAGCAGTAAATTTAGGACCGTATTTATGCTACCCCTGCTTCTATTCATAGCATAGATTTAAAATTCCATTTCTGTGGGGATACAGCTCTGAACTCTTTTGCCGTATGTATTTGGTGGATAATAAATAAAATAATACCATCATCTCATTTCTCCTCTTAAAATCAACAACACTGACAGCTACAAAACCCCCTAACACTCAGTTGACCCCACGACGGACTGGTAACTGAGTGGTGCTATGAAATGATGGAGCTGGGTTGTAGAAATGTGACGTCATGGCACTTTGGAAACCTGACCGTGGAGTTTCACGGGTCCTGCGGTATGTTTTGCAGCACGCTCTTTCTGACAAGGCTTGTGTGAAAGCCTTTGACCCGAAGACAACGTGCCTACAGGAGTGCCTTATCACCACCTTCCAGGAGGCCTACTTTGTTTCTGAGAGTTTTGAAGAAGCCAAAGAAAAGATGAGGTAAGCTTGTTTTTTCTCCACACAGAGAAAATAAAAAAATATTTTTTTTTCTGGCTCTGTTTCTTCCCTCTAGCTATCTTGTACACCAATGAGGGCCGATCGCATACGCTTCTGTGTCTGTTTATTTTGCAGGGATTTTGCAAAGTCAATTACCCGTCCCTTCTCAGTATACTTCAATCCCTACACACAGAGTGTTGAGATTCTGAAAGACACCAGAAGTATTGAGAACGTGGTGCAGGATCTCCGCAGCGATTTGAACACCGTGTGTGATGCCTTGAACAAAATGAACCAGTACCTGGGGATTTGATGCCCAGGACCAGTGTTGTTGCCAGCATGATCTTTTGGGTCTCAGCAGTCAATGTCATATAACACCAATAGCTTTCTGTGCCATGGCTTGGCTAGTAGGCATGCAATTATGTATATCTCTACCTGCTTGTAACTTACTGTGCTAATGTGTGGAACACCATTAAGAACCCAGTGACAGGTAACCACTCATTGTATGAAAGATTGTAATATGTTTAAATATCTTTAATCAAGTTGACATCCCTGCTTGGTGTCTTTAACCAAACTGCATCTATATAAACTTTGTAGCAAATAGCCCTTTATGATTCTAGGTTTTGACCTTTTCTTTCTCAGATCTGAGTCTTTCCTCTGTGTTCATTAGATAAAATGAAAATAGCAGCGAACCTATTTCTACTTTCCATAGAGTCAGTACTTCCACAGCATTACTTGAGATGAACGCAGAATTGTATTAAACTTCCCGTCACATTAACAAGGATTCAATATTCTGTTTCAAAAATTGTTGAGGTAACACACCAGTTGGAGTGACTTGTAGGTTGAGTATTTATACAATGGAAGGAAAGAAAGCTTTTTAGAAATGGGATAGACAGGTTGCACTGACCTTGTAGAAACGGGGTTGTGGCATGCTTCCCAAAGCATTTCGGAAGGAAACACTTCCAGAAAGGACACTAGGAAAGACTAAACAATGGGTAATAAATCTTGGGACTATTAATTTTATGCTGGAATAAAGTGAATTATCATGCTTAGGTGTTTAACCCATTTCTTTTAGAGGGCAATAAAATCAGAGAGCTTTGCTTTCAAAGATGTGGAAATTGAATCTCAGAGAGGTTAAGTGATTTGGTTGAAGTAGCATAGTTAGTTGTGCACCAACGTTTATAGCCCATTGCATATTGCTTTTGAATTGCTAAGAAGCTTACCTTGGTGTATGCATGTATTTATGTGTAGTCAGAGAAGGGAAACTAATGCTTATCAAAACTAATGTTCATCACTAAATTGGGATTGGTTTGAGATTTATTGCCAACAGTACAGATGTTTCCTCTCACAGGCCCACACCAAGCCAGATCTCTGGGAGTCTGTCTATGTGCCCAAAGTTTGGGCACATTCGGACAAAAAATAGTGATAACACCACAAATCTCTGGTCATGCTTGCCATAAGAGGTGTAATCAGTGATAAGAGGTGATTAAGTGAAAAAATAAAAAAACCCCTGCGGAATAAGTGAATGAATTTCATCTTCTTCTGATTTCTTCAACAAGCACAACACTGTTCTCCTCATTCTGCTTTGGGTACA